TAGCCCAGGCTGGCCTCGAACTCACAGAGATCCGCCTGGCTCTGCCTCCCGAGTGCTGGGATTAAAGGCGTGCGCCACCAACGCCCGGCTTATTTTTTTTTTTTTTTTAAAGACAGAGTTTCACGTAACCCTGCCTGGCCTCCAACTTGCTACATAGCTGAGGATGACCTTGAACTCTGATACTCTTTTTTTTTTAAAGATTTATTTATTTATTTTGTATACAGCATGTATGACCAGAAGAGGGCATCAGATCTCATCACAGATGGTTGTGAGCCACCGTGTGGTTGCTGGGAATTGAACTCAGGACCTCTGGAAGAGCAGTCAGTGCTCTTAACCTCTGAGCTATCTTTCCAGCCCCCGAAATCTGATAATCTTGACTCTACCGCCTAAGTTTCAGGATTACAGGTGTGCACACCATGCCTGCCTAATGCTTTGATGAACTGTGCCCCTGACAACTCCGTGCACTCAGTCTCTCAAGTTCATGGACATGCAGGTGCTCTTGTCCTCTCAGGCAGCTCCAAGTTCAACTCTGGACTTTTCTTCTCTAGGGGAGACACCCCTGCCAGACAGTGAGGAGAGCAGCTCCACCAGCCCAGAGGCTCAGGACAAGCCGCCCCTGGGAGAAACCCAGCAGAAGATAGAGGTGCTTGTGGAGGAGAGCTTCAAGGCCAAAGACGAACTGTTCCCAGAGAAGCCAGGTGGAGAAGAGGAGCTGGCTGTGGTGGCGGACAGGACAGTGGAAGAGCCAGACCTGCCTGGGAGTCTGGCTCAGTCCCAGACACTCTTGGTGGCCACTGCTGAAGGTAAGGCAGCTGAGACAATAGAGGGCAGCCTCTGACCCTGCGCACAGCTATGACCTCTGACCTTGTGCACAGCTATGGTCTCTGACCCTGCACACAGCTATGACCTCTGACCCTGCACACAGCTATGGCCATGACCTCTCTGTCCCTACACAGCTGCTGCCTCCACCTTTCTACACCACATAGAAATCAAGACAGCCCCTCACAGTCACACCCACAGGCCAGTCTGATCTAGGCAGTCCTTCACTGGAGGCTTTCCTCTCAGATGACTCTAGGGCCCAGAGTCTAGGCTGTCTACTGATAGGTAACCCCAGACTTCCCCAGGATGCCACAGGGACCTCCTTGGAACATTTTGTCCAATAAGGCCATGGATACAACATTCAGAGCCCCCAACCTGACAAGTCTGACGTCTGGCCCAGGAAGTAGGCCCTGCTGCATGGAGAATCCTGGGAGTGCTGCTGTTCTCATGAAAGGATTAGGTGTCAGGGCTTCGGGAATTACCTTGCAAGTGAAGAGGCCTGGGCAGGGCAGAACCTTGGCAATCCACCCAGCCGGACCTTATTCTGTCTCTTGAATCCATGTTGCCCACCCCCGAAGGTTTAAATTAAGAACAGCCACCTGCCTTTGTTCTGCAAGATCTTTAAAAAGCCCATTGTATCCAAGTCCTTTAGAGGATATGTGTGTGTGTGGTGGGAGTGGGGGCAGGAATACCCCTGGCCTGCTCCCAGGACCTTAGGGTCAGTGATTCCAGTGTGAGGGCTCGGGTATCCCAGGCTCAAGAGAGGCAGGAAATAGAGGACAGAGAGCAGGGCAGGGAGGAGGCATTCAGAGGCCGTCTAGAGGAGAGCAGAAGGCAGGGAGCTCAGGTATACCGTGCTGTGCATCAGGAGCGGCAGGAAATAGAGGACCAGGGCTGGGGAGAAGAGCCCCAGGGGCTATCCAGAGGGGTGCGGGGTGCGGGAAGCAGGGCTTGGGCATGGTATTGGGAAGCCACAGGCACCAAGAGAATCCTGCTCTGGGTGCCCTGCCCTGCTCATCAGCTGTGCATATGGCTCTTCTGACTTTGATGGGACCCTGTGCCAGGATGTCTGTCTGGGGACATGCCTTACTTTATTGCTTATGGAACAAGGGAAGGCTGCTGTGTCTGGCTCAGGGTAGGATTGTCAGACCCGTGACCTGCCTGTTCTGACCTTCTGGGAAGTTTTTCTGTTTAGCAAGGGCCTGCTGTGGCTGGCATTCGAAGGTAAGGGGCTTCTGGGTTCAGCATGTAGGGTTTTGTTACCACCTCGACTACAAACGTCATACACAGATCTGTGGATCAGGGTGGACTTCCTGGCTTAGCCACCCCTCTCCTGTGCCCTGGTGCCCAGCCCAGATGGAGGGGACAGTGAGTGAACAGACCACACAAGGACAGGGCTTAGGAACTTGGCAAGGAGGGCCTGGCAGAGGAAGACCGATAGTGTTTCCACCCATCCAGGCAGCCTTGCCATGGTAAATGGCACAGGTCCCTGGCCCTGGAGAGCAGGTGGCCAGGTACTTGATGGACAGGCAGGGCAGGCTGGCGGAGAGGCCTCCACCAGGGCTAGGCTGCAAGGTTGGCCTCTCTGGGCTTTGGAAACAGCTATTGTCCCGAGCACATCTTCTTGCTGGGCAGTCAGGCTGTCTGCTCTTAGTGTGGCCGCTTCTGTAGACTCACCTCCTGTCACAGCAGGGCCAGCTTCTTCCCGTCTGTCCTCAGCGGGAGGTGGAGGTGCAGCCCTGTCCTCAGTAGAGGACTCTGGCAGCTTCCATGGTGGCGGCTGTCCAGCCACACCCAGGAAGGTCTGCCCTTCCTTCCACCTTAACCTCTAGCTTGTCGTCCCAGCCTTTGTATCTGACATCAGCGCTGGGCTTAGTAACTTCTCACTGCTGTTCCTCAGAGTCCACGTCCTCAGTGGCAGCTACTGATGGGACCGGAACCGAAGACACAGAGGCCATTGCCCTGGAGACCAAGGAGAGGCTTTTCATCGATGTGAGCAGGGGGCTGGTCAAGCTGAGGGTGGGGTGACACCTTTGTGGTCCTCACTGTCTATCAGGAGTTCCCCAGGGAGCAGGTACAGCACAGACACCCAGGCAAACCCCCAAGTCCACCATACTCATATTCAAGTTTGGGGGGCTGGTCCATTTACCTCCCCAGGCTGTGAAAGCCACACTAGAGTTTCCAGGGATATTATAGTGCAAAGTGATTCTGTGGTCAGCCCTGGAGTCACATATCACTGAAGCCTGCTGGGCCTCACACCCACAGTCTGCCAGGTGGCTCCAGCCACCTCATTGGCTGGTCCCTACTCTGGCTTCCTGTTGGTTCACCATAGTGTGATTGTCCAGTGTCCCTCCCAGCAAAGGTTGTTAGAGCTGTGTCACCCACCCCTCCCCAAAGCTCCTCCCATTTAGATGACTGTATAATGTATTTCCTGCCTGCAAGGCATGAGAAATCACAGTGTCCCATTGTCCCAACAACTGTAATTCAGGGGGCATGCAAACCCATGTGAGCTGGGGCTCACTCTGTCTGCTTAAGGCCTAAGCTTTGCATTCAAAAATTGACCATACAGGACACCGTGAGGATGTAGCTGAGTCCTTACTCTGAGGCTGCCTTACTTGAGGCATGGTATGTACTAAGTATTCTGAGATATGTAGTATGATCATCTCAATATTATGGAGTAGGAACTGGAGAAACAGAGAGGTTAAGCAACTTGCCCAAGGCCACACATCTAGGAAATGGTGGTGTGGTTTTCTGGTTTTCAGGAGGTACTTGAGGCTCAGACTGATGTATAAGAGGTACTTTTGAGTTCGGAGTTCCCCATGACACAACAAAGTCTTCCCATTGGTTAGGTGGCCGAACTTGAAGTGGCAGTGTGGCTTCGAGCATGCCGAAGTCTTCGGGTGGGCATGGGTGGGAGTTACTGAGGGGCCTTGGTGATAGTTCCTTAGGACATCTTGTCTCCTGTTGATATTCTCTTCCAATTGTGTCTCTGGGTGATATGTGGTCACTGGCTCTTTCAGGACCTGCCTGACTTGGAAGATATTGATGGCATGGATATATCAATGGAAGACCAGACAAAGGTCAGCACGCTCTTCCCTATACCCCAGAATGGCCTCAAACTTGTGGCATCCCTCCACCTGCCTTGGCCTCCCAAGTACTGGAATTACAAGCATGTACCATGTCTAGTTCTTTTGCTTTTGAGACAGGGTCTCACGGTGCTGCCCATGGCTGGCCTGGAACTTGCTGTAGACTAGGCAGGCCTTGAACTCAGAGATCCACCTATCTCTACCTCCTGAGTACTGGGTTTACAGGAGTGTACCACCATGCCTGTCCCTTAGAGGCCATTTCCTTGTCATGAAAGTGAACTGCCCTTCTGAGCACAGTGACCATGTTTCCCTCACTGAGGAAACAGGCACTCTCTGGCCACTCTGAGAGCTTCTTCAGCCACATGGGCTTTCTGCTGCATGTTCTATTGGTGGCTGCCTGAAATAAACTGGGGTGTTGCCTTATGCTGGGTTCCTATGCGAAGCTCCCCAACTCATTTACTAAAGCTATCCCTCGTGGGAAGGCACCTGACTCTCCACCCCGGGCATAGCCGGGAGCCAGCAAGCCACTGTTTCAGCTCCTGTCCCTAGAAGAGACTTTGGGAGGAAACTGCACGAGGTCTCACATCCAAACAGGCACACAGGCCACTACACTGTGGGAACTGGGTCCAGGAACAAAGTCCTAAGAGTTGCTGGGCTGTGGGGTGTGGCAGAGGCTAGAATCCAGACACTGGTAGGGTGTGGCATGGGGAGCTATGTGGATGGGGAGTAAGCATGGAGAAACCGCTGGTCGAGTGTCCCTCCCGAGGCCCTGTGCCAGCCTGCGTTCTCCCTACCCCTGCACGTTTTCCTGTATTGTGACCATGGGAAAATCAGACACGGCTCACTCTCTCACAGGAAACGGGCATCCCGAAAATCCAGGTGATCTCCAGCTTGAGTGATGACAGTGACCCTGAACTGAATGACTCTCCTCTCCCCATGCTTGAGCACACTCCCACGGGCTCCACGGGTGTCCTCTCAAACATATTTGCAGTCTGCAAGGACTCCTCAAAGGCAGCCAGGGTGCCTCTCACAGACATATGTGAGCCAAGAGCGACAACAGAACTGGAAACCCAAGGTCAAGTCTTCAGCACCACCCCTCCACGGCCCCTCATCCAGGAGCTGGAAGAGGATGGGAGGGGAGAGAATGAATCAAAGGAATCACTCCCCACCCAGTCCAGTGAAGATGGAGACAGCCAGCTGCCTGAAGCCACCCTACTAGGTAACACTCCAGGGGCTGCTGTAGGGAGGCGAACCACAGAGAGGGGGAAGCCGATGGGGGCTCTGCCCCACTCACAGGTGACCACCTGGCCCTGTGGTTCCAAGCCAGAGGCTCTGAGGAGGGAGGGGACCACAGACACGAGGGCTAAGTGACAAAAGCATTGGTGTTAGCCAGTGAATGCACAGCAGCTTAAATCACAGGCCTGCTGCTGTATCCAGGCAGGCAGGGCAGTCTGGGCAGCCAGTCAGGACAGTCTGGGCAGCCAGTCAGGACAAACAGAGGACTAGCCCAGGGTTGGATGTGCATTTTAGGTGAGCACTCGCCTTTGGGGTGGCTTGTATTCCCCGAGTTCCTCTTGCCCAACAGTACGGGGCATATCTGAAGGACTCTGGCTGGCCTGGACCAGTGCTCAGCAAGAAGGGTAGCTCTACCCAAGGACTGACTCGTTCTCTCCTGACTCTTTAGGAGACAGAGCTGAGAATGAAACACAGTCTTCGTTGGACCTGGGGAAGCCCAGCCCCAGGGCAAGCCTGGAAGATATTGAATTTGGCTTGGACTGAACCCAAGGCAGTCTACACTGTTAGGCTAGCAGTGGCGAGGTGGACGCAAGGCACTCTTTCCTGTGTACCACATCTGGTGCACTTTGGGACCCTGCACAGCATGTGCTCTGCAGCCACATCTGTGTGCCTTGTACCCAATGCATCGGTTTCCCTGGTTACAGACCCCAGGATTACATAAATACGTTAAGACCCACACAAGTCAGCATGTTACTGGGCTGCCAGTCAGGTTCCATTGGGATGAGACCAGAGACTCCACCCCACCCCACTACGCCGTCTAATGTGTGTGCATCCCCAAGGTGGAGGGAGTAGGGCTTTACACATCAGACCTGGAAAGGTCCACAGAGACACCATCTTCTCTGCTCATATGACCATCCAGCTCGTGGCCAGTGGACAGGTTTATTCAGTCCCTCAGCCAGAGCCAAAGCACCAACTCCTACAGAGCCCATGTGGACTGTCACCCAAACAGTCCCCAACAGCAGCTGCCGACCCACAGTGTGCCACCCCAGGAGGCCATTTCCTCTGAGGGCAGGAGGCTAACACTGACACACAGGCTCTACTTTCCAGCAACTCCGCTGCACTGAGGTGCAGGGGGAGGCTCTGCCCTGGGAAGTGTATCCAGATCCCCAGGTCACAGGAGCTGCCCCTTGGCCATGGCTGCTCAGAGCTTCTGTGGCATGGTCTCCTGACTTCTGTTCCATGCAGCCCTGAAAACAGCAGTGGTAGCAGTGTGTGACAGCCCACACTGGACAAGTGGGTGACTACGGACCCACGGGGTCCCCACATCAGTGACCCTGAGGCAGCCTCTGCAGCTGCTGCTCTGGAATAACCTGCCATCAAATACATGAAACAGACTTGCTCCCCATTCCTTCAGCTGGGCACACTGTCCTTGGGAGGCAGAGACTCTGTCCTGGAGACCATGTTGGCTAAGCTCAGTGCAAGGCTCCAGGATGAAGGCTAGATTTTCAGGCATGGCTCTCCACACTCAGAAGCCCATTCGTGGTTTCTTCCGGGGAGGATGGGAGCCAGAGAGGACAGGTGCTTGTTGCTTGAAGGCCATGGACCGGAGGCTGGAGGCCTGGGAGGGCGGTGTAGCCACAGGTCCTGGAGTGTCCTTAAGTGGCAGCTTGGCCATGAAGTCCCGGAGGGTCTGCCGACGTTCACGCTGGACACCTTGGGCCCACAGCTCCTGTGTCAACTCCTGGGAGGGTGGGGTCCCTGGAGGCCGAGGCCAGGCCTCTGAGGTAGAATGGTCTTGGCTACGAGGGGGGCTGCTGGTATCTGGGAAGTCCAAGTAGCTCGTAAGTGAGGAAAAGGTACTAGCCAGCTGAGTCCGGCGCTTAGGCCGCTTGGTCTGTGTCTGGGAGCCTGAGGTCTGACTTTGATGCCTTTTCCACCAGGAGGCTACCCCACCTTCCCAGGCTTCTGCCAAGCGCTCAGTGAGCTCATCCTGCTGGCCGCACTGAGGTGCAGGGGGCGGCTCTGCCCTGGGGAGTGTACCCAGATCCTCAGGCCGCAAGAGCTTCCCCTTGGCCATGGCTGCTCGGAGCTTCTGTGACATGGTCTGGCTCTTCTGCTGCTCCATGTGGCTCAGAAAACGACGGTGGGAAAAGGTGCGGGCGGCCCAGACTGGACAAGGAGGGGCCAGCTCCATCAGGGCCTCCATCCAACGGCTGCAACGGACAGTGGCCTGAGGAGTCCAAGAGGACTGGTCCACAGGTGTTACTGCCTTGGATGCAGGGCCCTCTGGTGCTGAGTGATGACCCCGTGGCTCTCCTTCTCCAAGACTAGAGGCTGGCTGGAGGCGTAGGTGCTGATAGAAGATGTCCCCAGCTGCTGACAGCTGGAAGAGCAGCAGTGCTGGGGCCAAGGCACAGGGTGGGGCGGCAGCCAGACCTAGACAGGGAAGGAGAAGAGCTGCAGGGCCTGGCAGCAGCCCCTCCCCACAGCAGCCCCTCCCCACAGCAGCCCCTCCCCACAGCAGCCCCTCCCTCCCCACAGCAGCCCCAAGCCCCTTGTGCCCGTCCCACCTATGACTGGTGCCTCCAGGCGCTCCTGCAGCTGCTGCTGCCTCTTGGGTTCCAGTGGAGGAAAGGCGGAGAGGGAGTCGATGATGGAGGGCAGAGACTGAGGAGGTCCTGCCAGCTGGGGCACAGAGGTCCCCTCTCCTGGAGGAAGGACAGAGAGCTAGGTATACCAGCCCCAGCCCCTTCCCCAGCCCAGCTCCATGAGCCTCCCTTCTGCCTGGCTGACCTGTTATATGCAGCAGCTGAAGCTGTCCACCCTGGCCCCCCAGTAGCAGGGGCCGTGGGTAGCCAGGGCTAGCTGGGGGTAGCAGGCGGGCAAGCAGGGGTGCAGACGGCAGGCCATGGTCCCACTTGAGCATTGGCACCAGGGGGAGGCGCTCATCCATCAGGTATATCGAGAACTGAGGAAAAGGGAAAGCTGGGCATGGCTGATGCCTGGCACCAGCCTTCCAATAACCCTTTCCAGGCCACACAGCCTGTAGGAGGTACCCAACGCCCAGAAGAGGTCACTCCCATCGGCCTTCAAGTCCCTCTCAACTTGGCCTACCAAGTTGAGAACATGTATTTCCTGGGCAGGCAGCTCCATCCCAAAAGGGTTCTCACTACAGACATGAAGAAAGCTCCCAGTGGTAGGCTCCTGGGCCACCTGGGACCGAGCTACAGTCAACCTCTGCCTCCTCCCAGGTTCCGATCTGATCTGGCAGATGACCAAGTTTGCCTGCCCTAGTGAGGTCACATGCACGGGGACCCAACACTCCCTGGTTCCTATGGCTGTGTGTCAGGTCTGCTGGCAGGAACTCTGGTGAAGCCTGAGTCAGAGCCCAGGGAGGAGGAGGCTGCTCACCTGGGTGCAGATGAGATGCAGAGGAGTACAGGTAGGACCTGGCTGCCCAAGGTACTGGGCAAGTAGCACCCGCTCTCCTTTCTGGCAGGCAGCCTCTGCTCCGGCACGGAACAGCAGCAGCCCACAGCCTGGGGGACCCTAGGGAAAGTGCAGCACGGTCAGCCAGAGTCTTCAGGCTGGAGATGGGCCTCCCGCAGCCCTTCACTTCTGGCTCTGTTGCTTCTCGCCCCCAATACCTGAATGTCAACCATCTTCACACCTGTGCGGTCACCCACAGTCAGCACCCGGGGGTGGGCAGTGAAGTCTGTCCAGCGCCAGGGAGAAGGATCACGGAAGGCCAGCGTCTCAGGGTCCTTGTAGATGAGCTGCAGCCTTGAGAAAGAAGGCGGGTCGTGGGTGTGGGTCTGGTGGGGCTTAGGGGCACAAGGGTGTCGAGGGGCTGGGCTGGAAGGAAGACCATGGCTCTGCTCTGAGGTGGAAGGTTTTAGGGGGAAGCGGAATTACCCATCTTGTGGGGTCCACAGACACACAGCTCCAGAACGGCTGCAGATGGCCATCTCTCCTGGCAGGTGAGGGCTACAGGGCACAGGATGCTATGTTATGATCCAGCAACCCAGCTTTCCTCCAAGCCCTTGCCCTTGCTAGGAAGCCAACATCTCTCACCTGAGGCTGACACCAGTGGCCCCCTTCTCCACCTGCAGCACCTGCAGGGGTGCTGGGGGCCCCTGCTTATCAGTCTTCCACATGGCACAGTGGTAGTCAGAGCGGACAGCCAGAAATGCTGGGGAGGACAGAAAGGTCAGCTTGCAGTGTGTGTATCGCGGGGAGGTAGCCAGCTGGATGAGGAGGAGGGAAGAGAGGGGGAAGGGAGGGGAGGAGTCTCACTTTCTCCCTGGACAGTGCTGGTCACCACCTGCCGTACAGGCCCCCGCAGCTGGATGTGTCCAGGGTCCTCAAGGACCCGGGGATTGCCACCTGAATTCACACTGACCTCCTGGAAATCTGAGCCCTTGGTTAAGGACTAGGATGGACTCTGGTCATCCATCTCACTCTTCCCCTGGACCATTCTGTGGATGGCCTCCGGATCCCCACCAAATGAGGAAGGATACACAGCTTGTCCAAGGCACCTCCACTAGGGTAGACCAGCTGCCCAGCCCGCGCTGTCCTTCCAGGGAGCCAGGCCAAGGCACCCCCAGTGAAGGCCTCATCCAGCAGCAACTGCTCCCACCGAAAAGCCAGCTCTTCATGCAGCAGCCTCCCCATAAGCACGGACACTGACCTGCTCAGGACAGGGCCCCCAAGGATGGAGAAGCGACGAAGCCGGTGGCTGAGGAAGGCCCAAGGACACCTGGGGACAGAGCAGCAGAGGATGGCACTGGGACAATGCAGGGCAAGCAGACGACCTCTTTCACAGCTACCTAGAATGCACCCTACCCCGCTCCTGAACCCCAAACCCTGAATATTTCAGTGCCTCCTAGTGAGTGGCCCACAGAGAGCTGAGAGGCTCCAGCCAGGCCAACCAGTCTTTTCTAGGGTTTGTGGTACTTCAGACACTGACTCCTTAGAATAAGAAGCCATCCTGTTGCTACCTGAATTAAGTCAGACAGAGGAAGTGGAGAAGAAAGCAGAGAGCCCTGTCAACACTCTGGGTACCTGGATGTATCTGGGCCTAAGATCCACCAATGATAATTCTCTTTTCCCTTAAGCTGCTTGGGGCTGGGGATTTTGTGAACTTGTGACTCATGACCACGGGCTGGAAAAGCCACTGTGACGAAAACCTGGTCTGTGTCCTAGATCCTTCCACATCCCACCACCAGCCAGGCCTATCCGTGGCTGCTTTCTCACTGGCTACTTGCCCCCAGGGCTGGTGTCCACCGAGGTCCTGAAGCAGCCTCTTCGCGCTGACTATGGTCATCTTTTTCGAGTAGCCCTGCAGGGAAGGCCTGTCAGCTTTGCACCCCCGGGTCTCACCAGAGAGGTGGCCGACCCTTCACCCGGCCAGTGCCACCTACCTTGTTCCCCTCCAATCTGAAGTTCTCCAGCATGAGCTTCCCCAGGGGTGCGAAGGCTATGTCCCCATGGTCCCACAAGAAGTGGCTGAGCTGTGGGGAGTGGCTGTGTCACTCAGCACAGCACAGGCTGAGTGGCACAGTCCCACCCAGGGACCACTTACCTGCTCAGTGACATCCAGCCCAACTTGAGGCCGGAACTGGTTGCGGTGACCTCCCCGGAAAAGGAGATCCCGAGGGGTCATGCCAGGTTCCCAGGGTTCTAAGGGGAGAGAGAGGTCAGAGAAGAACCTGAGAAGGCATGGAAACACAATAGTATCTGGAGGTATCCAGAGCCTGGAGTGCGTGTGTGTGTGTGTGTGTGTGTGTGTGTGTGTGTGTGTGTGTGTGTGTGTGTGAGATGGCTGAGGTCCCTGGAGGGAGCCCAGAAGGAGACCCTTACCATGACCAGGAGGCAGCAGGGGGAGGGGTCCTGGTGTCGTTGGCTCCCACAGCAGGTTCTTGGCCAACGGCAGTGTCCCGTCCTAGGGGAACAGGACAGCAATGACATGGCAGAGGTGCACTCCCTGGCCAAAACTCACTCGGTCCTCATGACAGCGCGGCAAAGTCACTTGCCCCAAGTGAGGGTCAGTAAAGAGAAGGCATGGAGCCGGGCGGTGGTGGTGCACGCCTTTGATCCCAGCACTCAGGAGGCAGAGGCAGGCGGATCTCTGTGAGTTCAAGGCCAGCCTAGGCTACAGAGTGAGATCCAGAACAGTCACCAAAGCTACACAGAGAAACCCTGCTCAAAACAAAACAAACAAAACAAAAAGAACAAGAGAAGGCATGGACTTAAACCTAGGCAGCCAGCTCCAGAATCAACGCTAATCTCCACTCATACCAGCTTTCAAAGAAGGAAGCACCCAAGACTTGATTGTCCACCCAGGACCCAGTGAGCTCTCACTTCCGTAGTCACTTCCGAGTCCTGCTACTCAGTGGGCTAGCCAGGCTCCCAGCAAATACCAACAAGGCTCCCTTGTCTCAAGGCCCAAGAACACCCCCTCCCCTCAACACCCCCTCTCTGACCCACTCTCCTGTATGTACTCAATCCCACAAGCTGGGCAGATAACGATGTCCCTCCCAAGATGCCAGCGGAAATCCCACCCCCCCCTTCCCCCGCCATTCCACTGTTCCAGTAGAGCCAAGGCCACACTCCACAGCGTCTGCTTGTTGGTACAAGCTCTCCCACCTTAACTGGCAGTCCCTGAGGTGGCTCCTGGGCCTGTAGGGACCCTGGCACAGAAACACTGGCCAATAAATACCTGCTGAATCTGGGGAGAGAGGAGGAGGGAAGAGGAGCCACAGCCTCTGTGGAGCGACCATCTCTGGATAGCAGGGTGGCCTGTGCACAGCAGGAGCAGCATCTGTCTGGTCCTCTTTCCCCATCACCGGTGCCACTGAGAGTGAATGATGAGTGGGGTACCAAGGGAAGGGCCCTATTTCCATCCTCACCTTGCAGTTCTGTGGCTGGGACCCTGGCAGGGTCAGTGCATCTCTCCAGCTGCACATGAAGGACAGGTCAGGGCCATCAGTCATGCCAAGAGGACCAGCCATAAACAACGAAGGGCGCAGAGAGCTGGGGAAGTCCATCCTGGAGAGAATGTATCTAGGGTCACACATGCCTTCATTAGGAGTCTGAACAGTGCCCTCGGGGGAGTCTACTACAAAGAAGCAGGTAAAAACCAGACTATGCAGCCTAATGCCAGAGAGTAAGAAGGGCCTCGGGAGAACTTCTCACTCCCCCCATCACAGGGGAGGGTGCTGATGGACAGGTGAGGGCTCCCTAAGGGTAGTCAGGGAGATAGCTCTGCACGCACTTGGGTAGAGGGTCCAGGCAGAATGACCAGTGAAGGCAAAAGGCTCTGAGGCAGAAAAAAGTGCCAAAGAGATAGGCAACCTCAGAGTATACAAAGAGGAGAGGGTGGGGGCTGAAGTGGGATAAGCGCCATACATGACAGTGACCGGCATGCCATGCTCCACCCCTCTGTGGACAAGGGCTGCATGTTATTCCTGTTTTCCCACTGGCCATCACAGGCTTCTCTGAAAATGCCCACGGATCGAATAAAAGTAAGAACTCTCTAGAACAGCGGTCCTCAGCCCTCTTTCACAGAGGCCGCCGCCTAAGACCATCGGAAAACATAGTTACATTTTCATTCATAACAGTAGCAAATTACAGTTACAAAGTAGCAACAAGGATAATCTTATGGTTGGGGGTCACCACAACTGTACTAAAGGGTCGCAGCATTAGGGAGGTTGAGAACCACCGCTCTAGAAGCATTAGCTGCTAATCAGCCCACACTTTTAGAAAAATTTAAATCGGACATCAGCAACAAGAGCACCTGATGAGCACTATAGCACCTGCTGGGTGAGGCATAAAGGCCCTGAATTTGAGGAGTCTGAGGAATCGGTGTGTGGTTAACTTCCTCACATGTGTGCCCTACGGGGGACCCGGTCTCGAGGCCGCCCTCCCTCATCCCAGGCGTCCCGAACAAGCCTCAGCGCGGGAGCCCGCTGCTGCCCATCATAGGCGTCTCTGAAAATGCCCAAGGATAGAATAAAAGTAAGAACTCTCTAGAACAGCGGTCCTTTCTGTAGCCACGCGGAACCGCCACGTGCTCACATTATCCCCCCGCGCGCAGACTATGCTGGTTCCCGGCGAGAGTCTCACCTGATGCGAGGGCCAAAAAGGAGCGGGAGCGCCACTCATCAGCTCCTCGGCCCGGAACGCTGGAGCATCCACGACCGGACAGAACTGTTTTCCGGATCAGGCCGGAAGTGCTCCCAAGAAACAGGAAGTCCCGCCCTCAGCAAGGCCTCGCGGCGTCCTCCAGCGCTACCTGCCGGGCAAACAAGGAATAGGCGTGGTCGTGGCGCACGAGGTGTGGAATTCCTATCAGCCAGGTGATGATGGTTGAACTTGCTTCGGCTTCATTAACTTCCTGTCTCATGGAGCGGTTGTGAAGCTTAAACTGATTCGCTCAACAAACTGAGCACCTCTGATGAGCCACGCACTCTATTTATTGTCCATAAATCTTAAGAATCTGCTTTACAGATACCCCTGGGCTCATGTGTGGTTTAATCGAGGGCCAGAAAAGCAGTATTAGCCTGTAGTTCTCAAACTCCAGTGTGCACCTGCGTGCTTTGGGGGACGTGTTCAAACCCAGATGCAGCGAGTCCTGGGCGCTGCCTGTAAATTGCCTTTGTCTTGTGACTTTCACGTGAAACTTAGGATGTGTGGCTCTGCTGACCGACCACTCATACCCGGAAGCTAAGAATGTCTCCAGATAGAATCTTGGGACCTAAAATAGATTCTCCTGATTCACTGTAATCTACTGACATGACGTTCCCTCCAATGTATTTGCAAACTGCTTTGGGTTATGACTTCCTTTGTTCTGGAATTAGCAAAACTTCATAAATCCGTCTCCTCGATGTAGAAGGTTATCCAGGGAAACCTGAATCTGTGTTTCCGGGTGTGTTAGGGTTCTCTAACAGAACGGATTGATGATTGTAGAATAGAGATTTTATTAGACTGGCTCACAGCTGTGAGCTGGGTAGTCCAACAATCTCTGTCTCATGACTGAAAAGGTGAGAATCTTGGTAGATGGTCAGTTCTTGATGCTGGGTGTCACAGCAGTCTCAGTCTGGGGCTGGAGTCCTGGATGATTCCTGGAGAGCTGCTGATCATCAGTCTGCTGTAATCCTAAGGAAGTTGGTTTGAATGCTGGTAAAGGGAATGCCTCAGCAACGGCATAAGTAAACGGCCTCGCCAGAGAGAGTGAGAGCAAGCAGACAAAAATCAAAACATTCCTTTTTTTCACATCCTTTTATCTGAGTTTCCACCAGAAGGTGTGGCCCAGATTTAGGGTGGGTCTTTCTTCTTCAAATAATCTGATTAAGAAGATCCCTCACAGGTGTGCCCAGCAGTTTAGGTCCCAATTAATTCCAAATGCTCAGTTGACAACCAATTTTAGCCATCATGTGGGGCCATGCTCATTCATGTTCAGCTAAAGAGTAAGCTACCTTCTATTCTCTATGTCATAAAGATGAGGGCTGCATTTGAGTCAACATCTTTCCCATTCCCAGGCAATATAGGAATTCCCTGCATGTGGCTTTAGCACCACTGACCAGTCAGAAATAGCATCATTATCCTTGTAGCTTGATACCTTAAGTGTACACCAGAGCCACCTGGAGGCATGCTAAAACAGTTTGCTGGGCCCATTTGAGTTTCTAATTTAGTGGGTCTGAGATAACACTGCTGACCCATAGCTCATACTCTGAGATCTTTAAAGGATCAATCTGTGTCGGGTAGTGGTGGCACACACCTTTAATCCCAGCAATGGGAAGACAGAGGCAGGCAGATCCAAGTTCAAGGTCAGCCTGGTGTACAGAGCTAGTTAGGACAGCAGTCAGGGCTATACAGAGAAACCCTGTATCCAAAAAAAAAAAAAAAAAGAATCAATTTGCAAGAGGTGTTGGGAGGAGGCTCAGCTGGTAGGGTGATGGCTTAGCAAGCACAAAACCCTGGGTTCTAGTCCCAGGACCCCATAAACCAGTGGTGGCCCATACCTGTAATTCCAGAAATCTGCAGAAGAGGCAGGAGGACCAGAATGTCAAGGTCATTTTTGGCTACATAGCAAGTTGGAGGCCAGAATGGAATACATGAGGCCCTGTTTTATTGTGTTTTTGTTTTTTTAAATCAATTTGCAGATTGTCAACTTCCAGCTGTACAATTTGTATTTGGACAGTGCCTGGAGTCAGATGGCCCCTTTCCACCTTCTCTTTCACAGTCACAGTCACCATTTTCCCTCATGGAGTGCTGCCCTAGACTAGGTGCCAAACAGGAAGGTGCCAGGAGACAGCACATACCCTGCAGGAGGCCCTGGAAGAGGGCGCCATGAAGAGACGAGGACGGGCTTTGTGAGATGACGGGTCTGTCTGCTTTTTCACTGAGTGCTGCTCACATGGCGGTGTGTGCCATTCCCCAGGGGTCTGTACCTGTGCAAAGACCTGTGTACCTGTCTTTACCTCAGTAAAGAAGGCACTGGAAGACCAAAGAAATGATGCCACTGAAGTTCAGCTCAGTGAACCAGTGAGTTCACTGGAGTTATTTATAGGAAGGTGAGTGATCCCCCAAGCAGCTGCACTGCCCCCAAGCCCCACTGCAGCATAGGTGCCTAGATAGGAGCTCCCCGACCCTTTAGTTACCCTTCCATCTACTGTAGACACTCCAGCATCTGCTAAGACAGTCTGGAGCTGGGCAGGATTATGTGCAGCTGGGGTAAGAGTGGAGGAACAGCTGTCATTTCAGGTGAGGCCCTGAGGACCCTCCCCAGACCCTCCTTCTCTGCGGGCACTTGAACAGATTTGATCCAGGGAGGGTCTCATGTGAGTAATTACAGATTACAGTTGGTCTCTTTTCAAGATGGCAATGGCCGTAGCCTGCCCAGAGAACCGTATTCCACAGCACAAGGGCATGTTCAGCGTGAACCATCTGTACCGTTTTCTGTAGGTGTGTTATAGTTTCACAAGTCTTCTCAAAAAGAGAAGAAAATTACATCAGTCTTGCTGCACCATTTCATGGACACTTTGACTTACTGGCCAGGTCACAGCTTACTTTAGTTCTCAAGCCTAGAAACAGACTTCAAAAGGTAAGGGCGGAATTTGTCTGTCTGGCAAAACCCCCACCCAACATGACCTAAACACTGAGTCGGCGGCGCGAGAATGAGATGAGTTGGTTCTCTTAGGGCAATGCCTGCATACTTATTCAAATTGAAAAATGATGTCAGACTGCTCCTGATAGAATTCAAGTCTGGCTTGGCAGACTGGTCTGCCTCTGAGGACCAGCTTTGCCAATGAGGTCAGCGTAGGATGCATTTTTCATAAATGAAATGACCTAAGGCAGCATCCCTATAGTTTAGGTGAAATAGATTTAAAATAATGATTATAATATAACAACAACAAAAAAGACATTTTGCCAATAACTTTGAGATTAAGAATTGGGGCTACCTAGTTTTTTAGAAATTATTTTGGGGTGCATATATGCAAAACCACTGCAGACTATTCATTTTGAGACAGGGCCTTGCTGTATGGCTCAGGTGGCCTCAAACTCTCAAATCTCCTGCCTCAATCCTCTGAGTACTGGGATCAGCTGTATACTCCTATGCCAAGCTTGAAGATCATATAAGTCAGTTCCCGCCCCCCCCACACACACTGTGACGTTACCAGAAATCTAACACAGTACAATTTCTTACACTTCTAGAGGTCAGGGGTCCAACACAGACCCGCTGGACCAAAGTCACAGTACGAGCAGGGGCATCTGGAGAAGGGAGAAACTACTGTGTTTTGCCTTTTCCAGCTTCTGGAAGCCTCTGACATTCCACAGCATACATCTCCCTCCATCTTCAAGCTAACAATGGCTACTTGAATCTTCCTCATGATACTGCCTCCAATTCTCTTCCAATAAGGATGGTTGTGGTTACACTGGGCCTGCCTAGATAATCCAAGACATATTCTTCTAAAGTTATCGGATTAGCCTGGCCATGGTGGCACATACCTTTAATCCCAGCACTCAGAAGGCAAAGGCAGGTGGATCTCTGAGTTCGATGTCAGCCTGGGATACTGAGCAAGTTTCAGGATAGCCAGGGCTACACAAAGAAACTCTGTCTCAAACAAACAAACAAACAAACAAACACACAAACAAATAAAATTAGCTGATTAGAAACTTTGATTTCCCCTTGTCAAATTCCATCATATATTCCTCGGCTCTGGGGACTAGGGTGTGGATATCTTGGGGAGACCATCATTTTGCCTATCACACCAGTATTCTACATCACCCTTATAGACACTAATTTCTCCACAGAGGCTAATTCCAGGTCCTCCTGGTTTGCTTTGAATAAGCTGCAGTGTAATCTAGTAACATATATCCAACACTCAATAAAACAAATGAACTGCTGGGCAGTGGCGGCACACGCCTTTAATCCCAGCAGTTGAGAGGCAGAGGCATAGATCTCAATGAGTTCGAGGCCAGTCTGGTCTACAGAGTGAGTTCCAGGATGGTCTCACAGAGAAACCCTGTCTCAAAAAAACACAAAACAAACAACCCACACAAGCCTATAGTGTCCAACCTCGTCAAATATTTACGTAGTTACAAGCCTTTAGCATCACTTTCCATAGCCGATACTGTGTTAATTGCCGGCACCTCTGCCTTCATCTTATTTTTTTCTCTATCCCCCGTCACTTTAATCCCCTTACTTAAAATTACATTTGTGTGTATGCGTGTGAGTGAACATGTCACGGCAGGTATGTGGAGACCACAGTAAACTTCTGGCAACTGAGTCTTTGCACTTAACCTGTGGGCCCCAAGAATTGAACTCGGGTTCCTGGGCTTGGAGGCAAATGCCTGCTGAGCTATCTTGCCAGCCCCACTCCACTCATTTTAAATAACTGACACCTTGTGGTATTTTCCAACCCAAACGCCAAGTTTTCTGGGAAGGGGAGATAGACAAGGGCTCATCTGGGGCTAGCTCGCACTTCTGTTTGACTTCAAGAAGGTCCGGCGAGAGGTTTTAGAGCGCCATATCCGGCCATACAAGGGACAAGGACCCTGGTACAGGTAAGGGGGCTAAGATGGGCTGTGGTCGGGGAGGAAAGCCTGCAAACCCTCAGCCTTCCACTCCCACGCGTCAAGAGCAGAGGCTAACGGTGCAAGCCCTCACGAGACCTGCCCTCGCGCAGCACAGTTGGCGGGTGGCGGGTAGCCAGTAAGGGTCCACACCACCGCTCCGTGAGACAAGCTTCCCCATTGGCTGGTCGCAGCGTCCATCACAGCGGCGCGGTCTGTCATTGGCCGGCTCCAGGCAGAGGCGGAGTTCACGATCAGCTGTGTGCCACATGCTCCACGTAAAAAAGGGCGCGGTGCGAGGTCTGGTGCGGCCATGGCGAGCGTGGACGAGGGTGGGCGCAGGAGGCCTCGACTGGCAGCGTCGCTGCAGATCAGCCCCGGACCCTGGAGGCCCTCGGGAGGCCAGGAGTCCACCGAGGCTGGGGGCGGGGCACCTGGGACCCCTGAACCTGGGCTGGTTAGGGAGCAGGAGGGCCGCGAGGAGGCCTGTAAGGCCCCGAGGGGCTCGGTCCTGCGCGCGGGGGCCGCGGGCGACTTCCCTATGGACGCCCGGGGGCTTAGCCTGCTGCCCAGGGACCCGCCCCCAGTGCAGGCGGTGGCCCTGCTCACCCAGTGCGTGGCTAACCTGGGCGTCTCTCTGACCTTCCTGGAGGACCAGACCACAGGTGGGGCCTGGGGCAGGTGTGTGTCTGTTGTGGGGTGAAGGAGCCACTAATTAATGCAGGAAGGTCAGGCTTCCTCCAGTGACCTGCTGAGCTGGCCACGATGAGCCTGGGGTCCCCCAGGTAAACCCCATTCACAAAGAAGCGAGGTGAACAGCTTGAAGGATCTGATGCCTTCAAGGCTGCAGCTAAGCAAACGTCTCCATCGGCCACCTCCGGTGAAAAGGGCTAGTTTCATGCAATCACAGTTGTCTGGGTTGGAGACTGCACCTTGATCATGGGGAGTGCCACTGTCCCCAAAAGGATTGCACACACCTGAAGGAACTTAAGTGTGTTCGTATCCTTGGATCAGGTGACCCAATTCTGAGATTTTTTTTTTTTTTTTAACCTGCTCTTGGGCTGTTACACCTGAGTTGATGGTGTTGAACAGAAAGAGCTTTTAAGAGGAGGGTCCCTGGAAGAGAAAAATAAAAGGCTGAGTCTGGTGGCAGGCAGGAAGCTGTCCTATGGGGTGGGGGAACTTCCTCCTAGGTTCTATGCTACCTCCCCCAAAGTGCCTACCCTTCCTGTCGTTCATGCTTGTTCCAGAAGGCTCTGTGAAAGCCAGGTTGAGTTCGCAATGGGGATATCATGGAAAGACACACACCACCTGCTGCCTGTAGAGTGCCCACTTAGTGTGCTAGACCCTCCTTGTTGATCTGATTGTCATCTCTTGTCAGGAGTCAGGAGGATTACGGGGAAGGAGGAGGCTAGGGTTGATAAATCCCTTCTAGAAATGGTGGAGATGGGGCTGACGTCCAGGAGGCGCCTTCCTCAAGATCTCTTCCCCAGGTCCAGACTCCTCATTCTCTGTGTGTGCAGAGCTGGATGGGTTGGTCTGTCCTGCGGGAACAGGGAAAAGCAAGATGGAGGCCAAACAGCAGGCAGCCCTCTCTGCCCTTCAGTATATCCGGAAGCAGCTGGAAAGACCAGGTAGCCATGGCCTAACTGGGGTGGGCAACTGTGTGTATGTGTGCATGTGGTGTGTGCATGTGGGGGCTAGGAGCATATGGTAAGGTGTGTGTGTATGTGGGAGGGTGGGAGTGTATGGTGGTGTGTGGGTGTGGGTGTAAGTGTGTATGGTGGTGTGTATTGTGTGGTGTGTGGGGTGTAGTGTATGTATGGTGGGGTATGGGGAGGTGTGGTGGTGGGGTGTATGGTGGGGTGTATGTGTGTGGTGTGGTGTGGGGGGGTGTAGTGTGTGTATGGTGGGGGTGTGTGTGTTGGGGTATGGGAGTGTAGTGGGTGTGGGGGGATGTGGGTGTGTATGGTGGGGTGTGTGTGTGGGGGGGGTGTAGGTCTACAGCCCCATCTGGGCATCAGCATGGAGAAATGGGCGGCCTCTGCTGATGTCCCACACTGGAGCTAGGGAGCGCAAGAGCAGCTGCTGGTGGACTCTGTGCCTGGAAGGTGGAGACTTTGCCTCCTCTGCTTGGCCTCCCAAAGGATGGGAAGACTCAGCACCCGTGCAGCTAGCTCCTCTTGTCTCTTTCAGAGCCCCCTGTGACTCCCCGCCAGTCTCTGCTCACCTCCCTCGGCACCGGTAGGGAGGCACTTGGCTCGACCCCTGGTGCCTGCTCTCAGGGCAGGAGGGCAGGGCGGGGGAAGCATGACTTGTGGGTCCTGCACTGTCCTCTGGTCATTGTGCAGAGAATATCGTGACCCATGAGCAGCGCTGTGCAGCTGTGGTCAGTGCCGGCCTGGACCGACTGCTGAAGGACAGCTCACCGTACCAGGCCTGTAAGGGGACGGTGGCCGCAGTCATCCTGGAGAGGGGTAGGAATTGCCCTGCCCCCATCCCATATCCACACACAAGCTCAGGCCCCCGGCCTGAGTTTTCTGTCCCTTCCTGCACAGAGGTCCAAGGCATGATTGGTCACTCCAAAGAGACCTACGAGCTGGTGGCGCTGGGCACAGGCAGCAGCAGCTATGCTGGCTGGCTGGAGTTCTCTGGCCGGCGGCTCCACGACTGCCATGGTTTGGTGATCGCCCGCAGGGCCCTGCTGAGGTGAGGGGCAGGCAGGCGTGGGTGGGGGGTGGGGGGTGGGGTGTCTGTGGCAGGCTGCCTAGGACCATTACCCCACCCCACCCCCTGCCTGTCACTCCCAGGTACTTCTTCCGGCAGCTCCTGCTGGCCACACAGGGGGGTCCCAAGGGCAAGGAGCGGTCAGTGCTGGCCCCCCAGCCTGGGCCTGGACCCCCCTTCGCCCTCAAGCCCGGGGTCTTCCTGCATCTGTATGTGAGCAACACTCCCAAGGGGGCGGCCCATGACAGCTAGTACGTGTCTGGGGCTGGTGGTCCCTCGGTTTCATTGTGGGGGAATCAGGGTGTGAAGAGTGCCCTGATTCTGGGCTTCTGCCCCCTTCTCCCACCTCCACAGCTTCCCGCTGGCCTCAGAAGACAGTGACCTGCACAGATCAGCCTTCCGTCTGCAGGCCCATGTCTGCGGGCAGCTGAAACCTGTATCCTATGTGGCGCCTGCCCTCCGCAATAGCCACGTGGGCTGCCTTTCAGCCAGTGACAAGTTGGCACGTTGGGCTGTCCTTGGGCTGGGCGGTGGGCTGCTGGCCCACTTCCTGCCACCACTGTATGCCACCAGTCTCGTCCTAGGTGAGGGGCACAAAGAGCTGGGGCAGAGAATGGGCTGTGAGTGAGGAGGATATGGTGACTCAGGCCACGCCCTGTGCCTTCTGCCCACAGCTGACCCCTGCCATGACCCTCCAACTGTGAACAGGGCCATTCATTCCCGGCCTAGACTGGACAGTGCCTTGGGGTCATGTCTTCCATATCCATATGTCCGCACCACCTTGCACCTGTTTGCTGGGCCCCTGGTGGCCCCCTCCGACCCCATGCCCAGCGCCTGCCATGGCCTGAGCCTCAACTGGAGCCTGGGGGATCCTGACATCGAAGTTGTTGATGTGACCACTGGATGTGTGAAGACTGAGTGAGGAGGGCCCTGTGGGACTGAGCCTTATTAGCAGGGAGCTCATGGGTAGGGCACCTCATCCCCCCCCCCACACACACACACAGGGTAAGAGCACTGGGGTGGCTTGTGCCTCCTGTGACTCCGATAACACAGGCCCTGGGCAGGAAGAGATTGTGTGAGTGGCGTGGGCAGGCCTGCCTATTCTTTCCCAGTGACCACCGCGTGTCTTCTCAGGGCCAGCACCGGACCCGCCTCCCGCCTCTGTAAAGCGGCCTTTCTCGCGGGGTTCCGCCAGGTTGCCAAAGCTCTGGAGAAGCCCCAGCTCCTGTCTCTGAAGACCTACGAGGCTGCCAAGGTGGACTTCCTTTCTCTCCGACCCTCTCCTCCACTCACAACACTCTTAGCGGACAGATGACTTACTCATCCTGTCTCCTCCTCTCCACGCTAGGCTGTGCCCTACAGGGAAGCTCGCCAGCAGCTCTCTCTCCTGCTGGACCAGCAGGGCCTGGGGGCCTGGCCCTCAAAGCCACTGGTGGGTAAATTCACACACTGATCCAGACTTCGAGGGACAAGGACCCTGGTGGACTTGGACCTCTCCAGTGGGAGAACCTACTGGAGGCCAAGCAAGGGGAGGTGGAAAGCATAGTGGGGGAGGGCAGGGCTAATTGCGGGGGGTGGGGGGTGTCCGGCAATACCCAGTAGTTGAAGAGCAGAGACTCTTGGATGTCTCGTTTGAATAAAGAAATGATCACTAGTAGTCTGTGTGTTTGGGGGTGTTGAGGTAGTGGGTCATTGTGAGGAGCCTTTCATGCCACCACAAGTGGGAGCTCAGACCCTGCCCTCCAGAACTACTCTGCTGTCATCCAGTTTGCAGACCTGAAAGTAGACTTGGGAGGGTCCGAATGCTGGCGCAGGTCCGGGTGGAGCAGGAGAGCAGGCTGGGAGCATTTTCTTGCCTGTGAGGCCTGAATCCCTTCCTTTCTGAGGCTTAGGCTTGGGGAGCTAGGAACACATGGGTCCTGTGCTGGCTCTTGCGGTGTTTTGTGGGTTAAGTGCCCATATTGAAGGATGCGGGGTGGCAGCAGGCACCGGGAGTCCTTTCTCTGGGGCACTTGGCTGCAGAAGCCCGCCGCTGCCCACTGTGGAGAAGCCAGCACTTTCCAGTTGAGGGTGGATGCTGCTTCCGCCCTCCCCTCCAGGGTGCCGCAGTGGATGCAGAAGGAAGATGGCTGCATCTGCAAACCTGGAGCCCTGCCAGTTCAGGGAGCTGGTGTTGGCCCCGCACCCCCATTCCACAGCCCAAAGCTCTCCGCATCCCCCTCCTTTCCCGGTTCAGAGCGCACTGACATGGAGAGGCCCGGTTAAGCTGGTCAAGGCTGCTGATGTTGATGGCTAGTGTTCTGTGGGAACATGGCCGGCTAAGGGATGCACACGTGTCCTGGGCATCTGAAGTAGCTCTAGGGAGCAGC